TGCGGAACTTCCTATGCTCCAGCTTCTGGCCATTTCCCCTTGTCCTGTCTCCGCACACTGCTGGAAAGAGTCTGCCCTCGCCACTCTGCCCCCCACACCACAGATATTTATAGACCTGGATCAGGTCCCCTCTCAGTCTTCTTTTCTCCAGGCTAAACAGACCCAGCTCACTCAGCCTTTCTTCACAGGGAGATGCTCCAGGCCCTTCACCATCTTTGTGGCTCTCCGCTGGACTCTTTCCAAGAGATCCCTGTCTTTTTTGTACTGGGGAGCCCAGAACTGGACACAGTAGTCCAGATGAGGCCTTACCAGGGCAGAGTAGAGGGGGAGGATCACCTCCCTTGACCTGCTGGCCACGCTCTTTTTAATGCACCCCAGCATGCCGTTGGCCCTCTTGGCCACAAGGGCACACTGCTGGCTCATGGCCGACCTGTCTTCCACCAGGATACTCAGGTCCCTCTCCGCAGAGCTCCTCTCCAGCAGCTCATCCCCCAACCAGTGCATGCGATTATTCCTCCCCAAATGCAAGACTCGACACTTGCTTTTGTTAAACCTCATCTGGTCTCTTACTGCCCAGCTCTCCAGCCTGTCCAGGTCTCGCTGAATGGCAGCACAGCCTTCAGGCGTGTCAGCCGATCCTCCCAACTTCGCATCATCAGCAAACTTGCTGAGGGTGGCCACCGTCCCCTCATCAAGGTCACTGATGAAGATGTTGAACAACGACCCAGCACCGACCCCTGAGGAGCAGCGTTAATTACAGGTCTCCAATCAGACTCTGCACCGCCAACGACGACCCTCTGCGCTCTGCCAGTCAGCCAGTTCTCAACCCACCTCACTGTCCACTCATCTATCCACACTTCCTCAGCTTTGTTGTAAGGATGTTGTGGGAGACAGCATCCAAGGCAAGCTAGAGGTAATACGTATCTTTACAAATCTCAATGTTGGAAAACTACTAGCTTTTGGTGCTGGACAGACAGGACCTGAGTAATAGAGAATTCAAGGAGGAGAAGTTAAATTATTTAAAACATATATATAGGCCAGTAACAACTTATGTATAGCCAGCATTGAAAATAGATGTCACACACTGCAAGAGTACATTAAAAGGACAATTTGTTACGTGCCTCTGGGAGTGCCTGAAGAAGGTATGGAGGAAGATGGGGCACCTCCCCTCCGTACCCTTTGTTTAACAAGGACTCTGAAGAAAATCACCGTATCAGTATGAACAAGAAGAGTGTTGAGGCATCTTCCGAGCTGACAGCAGATAACAAACAAATTAACCAGTAATTAACAAATGTGAACCTTTGATACGATTGTGAACCTGGAGTACACAGCCAATGCGGAAATGGGGGAGGCAAGGGGGGGAAGAACAGGGTATGCAGACTGTCACATTGTGTCCATAGGTGCTCCTGCCTGTGGGACGCCCGCCGTTGCAATCACGACTAAAATCTGCTTTTCTCAGAGATCCCGTCCTGACAAAAATCACTGGGATGTTTCCAGCACCTGCAAGGGGTGCCTGTGTGAGTGTCCGTGTGAGCGTGCTGAACGAAACTCACAGGGCTGTGTGCTGCTCTGGGTGCGTGGTTTGCTCGCCTCTGCTCCTGAGACAGCCTGTCTGTCAGCTCCAAACGTACCCTGGGACGGACAGACGGACAGACAGCCAAAGGCGGTGCAGAGTGGTGGGATTGCATGCGTGCACGCGCACGAGGATGTTTCCTCAACGGCATCTGCGTGTGAGCGTGCAAAAGGGCTGCGTTGCACACGTGTCTGCACGCGCGTGTGTGCCTGCATAACCACGGCTGGGAGCATGGGGGGCTTTGCACGTGGCTGCGTGGCTTTGCACACGGCTGCACGCTCGTGGGTGGTGCGTGCACATGGGTGTGTGTGAATGCAGAGGGGTGCGTGTGAGTACCTCTTTGCACTCGTGTGCACGGTTCTGCACACACGCGCATTCAGATGCTGCCAGGGGCCGTGGAAACGGAGCGGGCGCACGGCGACAGGCATCGCCGCGGGCAGCCGGGTCGGGGCCAGCCGGGACGCGCGCGGTGATGACGCAAAAACCGCGCGACCGCAACAGAAAGGACCCCGCGCGCAGCGCCCGCCCCGTTCTGCAGCCCGACCAATGGCAGCGCGGCGGGGGCGAGCCGAGCGCGGGCTCTCTGCCAATGGCGGCCGCTGCTGCGACGGCGCCGGCGGAGCGCGAGGCTCCGCAGGGGGAAAGCGGCGCTCCGCCACCCCGCGTCCCCGCCGCCGCCCGCCCCGTGCCTCGGGGACGCCGGGCGGTCAGGGGAAGGCGGCGCGGGGC